CCCCGCGACCCGGTTCCGGATAAAACGGGAGACGACGAGTACATCATGTTCTACTCACCAATATGAGTTTTGTGTCATTTGGAGCCATTCTGAAGATAATTGGTTAGGTTATATCCAGGTAGCGTCTTCCTATGGGCAATGAGTTGAAGGCACAAACTAAACTGTTCATAATTTATTCTTTATGGAACGCCAGCATTCATAACATGTAGGCGAATCACTGTCCCCTAGACATCCGCGTTTACATTTTTTATATTTATATTTTTTTAAAACAAAGCGGCGCATGTATGACGTCATCCGTGCGCGCCGGCTACCATTCATTCTTCCTGTCTGCTAAACTGCTGCTAGTTTTCCTCACATGCCTGGAAGATGTCTAGTGCTGCTACCACAGATGATCTCGCTCTCCAAATGGAATTGAACGATTCAGATTAGCTAGAATGAATAGAAGGGGTAGAGCGTAGCCGCCTGTAGCCCGGGCTGCCTGTCACAACTCCAGTCTGGTGCGCGGATGACGCACCGGACTTGAGTTGTAACCGCGGATGTCTGGGGGACAGTGATTCACCTACATGTTATGAATGAATTATGAACAGTTTAGTTTGTGCCTTCAACTCGTTACCCATTTAAATAGGTAAATAGAAAGTGAAGCTTAAAGGTAAAGAGGACGATCTTTTAATTCTGGGTGGATCATCTAAATAAGTGGTCCTCCTAATCATCAATCATTCTGGTGATATCTTTACGTAAGACCGTCCTTCGTGCTTGCCCAGTTAACTATCTTTTTTTGCACATGCGCACTTTGAGCTATATATCTGTGGTGAGCTACGGTTTAAGACAGTCATTTAACTCACCTTTCTCACCACGGTTCTTTGAAAATGGCCGAGGGTCGTAAGAGAAAATGTGTCTACAAAGTGTATGAGAAGAAAAGAAAGGCCTCAGAAGAGGCATCGCGGAGCACAGAGGGCTTTTCTTGCAAAGCATTATGGGATTTTGCTGTCCCTGCTACCAGACAGGCAGTAGAATAACGGGGAAGTGATCATCTATCTGAACGGTCAGTTAACTGAGTTTGCTATAAAGTTCACTATATAGTCCCCGCTCTATATATAAATTGAGGGTTTTAGGGGTTAGAGTGGTCGTTCAAACACAGTAAGGTTGTATGAAACTATGAGAACAGCAACTTTTAAACAGAGCGTGCACAAGGAGAAATGGGCTTTTTAAAAGTTGAGAGGGCTGGTCTTTTAAAAAATTAGAGAAAAACTTTAATAAGAATAAGGTCACAATGCCAGGTCGAGGGGAATAAAGTCGTATGAAGTGGTAGACAAAAGGCAGCCTGTGTTTAATGCTGACCTGAAGCTGCTGTTTGGTTCAGCTGATCAGATCTTTACTGAAGCTTTCTTAGTTAAACAACCTTTTTTTATATAATAAAACCAGGGAACATACATGAGGCACAGTTTATTTTGTGCAAGAAGTCATTCAAGCTCTGAACGATGGGAATTAAGGCAGTGGATTCGCACATGCAAAGCACGGAACACAAAGCGTCAAAATGGAGTTACCGAGAAACAGACGGTTTTTCTCAGTTTAGTTCCACCCTTGTCTCTGCAACGCCTCCACTTATCACCAAATCAAACATACTAAGAAAACGATACAAAGAAAAATAGCTGCAAAAAAGACTTAGCACTGGTTATGTTGTGGCTTTAAAACTGATTTGTTTTGATCCCTTCTAAAACAAAGTATGTGAATTCAGTTAAATAATTGTTAAAATATATCTGTCATTTGTGTGTTTTTAGCTTTCTTCCTGTATGGGAAGCTTTTCAAAATTTGAAACATTAGTGCACTGGTTTATGTTAAAATAAACCTTTGGGTTAAGTTGTCGCAAGCAGGTTTTTTTGTGTGTTTCTTGTGAATTTGGTCTTAAATTTTTATATAATTTTGTCTTTACGCTCAGATTTTTTGTAATATCACGCCAATTAAGGGCCATAACTGACTAGTTCTAATACTCCATTGTATAAGGAAATAATAACATAGTTATAAATAATATAATACTAATAAAGTAGCTTACAAGATTTAGTCTCTTTAATGTTATTAATGACAGTAGGTCATAAAACCACTTAACTTATTGCTACCTAAATTTATTTTTATCTATATAAAATGTGTTTTTGCCACCAAACAAAAGCTCATTTAAATATAAATTAGTGACTTGAATGTTGCACATATAACAAAGTGCTTACAGATATCTGTGGTATGCACTTTGGCTGTTTTTTACTCGTCTCATCTTGTGTTTCAGCTTCCAGCAGCCAGCAAAGAAAGAACTCAGTGGCTCCAAACACCCACAGCTTCCTCTGCAGCGTTTCCACAAACAGCCCCACCATCCTGCCAGCCGTCCCCTCCTCCTCTCTAATCCTGCGGGGCCCTAACGTGGCCCCCCATGAGCACGCCGTCACATCATCATCATCCTCCTATGATCGGGTCGGCCAGTCGCAACGGAGCATCTCGCTGACAGATGTGCATTTTCCCCAGTGAGCTTCACATAAAGCAAAGCAGTCAGCATGGAGCTTATCTCAGGCTTTATAGGAACCCAACCACACACAGAGGAAGAGAATGAAACATATTCCAATGAACAGAATGTAATATTTATGGCACGCTGAATAAAATGTCACACATTACAACACGATTGGTAGATTAGCTGAAGCACAGATGACTGCAGATATTTTATCAATACTGTAAAAGTGTAAATGTGTTGTTCTGATAGGATCATTGATGTTCTCTACATGCTCACCGTTGATGTAATACATGTTAACTTCAATAAATATTGTTTCTGTCACTGTATGCCGACTGCGTTCATTACATCAGATAAATGTTTTCCTATGCAACCCAGAACCACCGCTGAGGTGTAGCTAGAACAAAAATACAATCACCAACGAGACGCCAAATAGTAGGAATCCCTGATATCATCTGGACAAAATTTAGAGCTGAATAGTTTTTCAGGGTTCCTTAAAAAGTCTTAAAAGGTATTGAATTCTTCAAAATAAAACTAAGGCCTTAATTAGTATTAAAATGTCTTAAATTAGTCTTTCATAGGTCTTAATTTCTAAAACATCATAAATAGGATTATTTTTATTACGATTTATTTTTGTAATCTAAATAAAACAATTTTTGACAATTTTTTTTAAAAGTATTATTTAAAAAAACAACGGCTCGCCATTATTAGTTCCGTCCCGGTGGCGGAACCAATAAAAACGTTGTTACGGCCGGCACATTTGGGAGATGCACCATTAACTTTTTGTCTGGAAAATATGAGCAAGTGTAAATGTAACGAAAATTTTCTCCAGCCAAGAGTTTTCTC